TGCAGTTCAAATGCTGTTCAGATACAGATACAGTAATACTGTATATGCTACACCAAGAGTACACGAAACCGGCACTTACAAACGTATACGTACGCACGCATGCAAACCATGCACGCACGGACACACGCGCATGTACACACGCACACACATGCACACACATGCACACACACGCACACACACGCACACACATGCACACACACGCACACACACACACACACACACCAGGGCGGGAGGAAGGAGTTTGTGAGTGGTCCGGCCAACCGTTGCGGGGGACCTCCCCCGGGAGAAATATTTAAAATTTACCTGAAATAGAGCGAATTTGGGCATCTTTTAAGGCTCCAGAAAATACAGAAAATTATAGTAAAAGAACACAAACACAACTTTTTGTATCCATATCATTAAAGCCATACAGTGCCGGTCACGGAGTCCTGAGCTACTTCAAAGCACATCACACGTCGGCAGTACAGTCGAGTCGTGTACCTCTGGATTTTTTTACACCGGTTTTGCACGAATCACATGGACTATCCAGCTGGGAAAGTGGTCCGGCCATGGCCGGACCAGCCTGCCCGGTTCCGCCGGCCCTGCACACGCACACACACACACACACATGCTGCTTGCGCACACTTTATCACTAAACAGATTACTCAGAATGATGTAATCCCGGAATTTCGCCGTGACACCAACCCATGGGAGCTGTACACTCCGGGTTTCATGTATTGTACTAGCATTCCTGATTCTACAAACATTCACGTGTTCTTACATGGTGGGTGCCGAAGACCGATGTGCCGACTAACGGCGATATCGACAATTTTCATGAAACGAATAGGTTTAGTTACGAACCTTACACTGTACTAGTCTTGCGCTAAGATGGTATTTGCCGCCTCTCCCTCACGTTTGCTTGACCCAGGCGGCGCAAGCAGCGTCTTGTTCATCGACTCGAGTGCCCACCGCCTTCTGAAGATGGCCGCATCGCCGTCGGCAACACCAGTAGCAGCGTGTCAGGTGATCCAGAGAGGTGAGGCAGGTGATGCATTGTGGCGCACGCACTTAGCACACACTGAGCACACACTGAGCATGCATGCTCCGGGCAATCGTCCGTGATCGTGCGCCACGCTGTGCGCCTGCACAGTACTTTCAGGCGTCGAAGAACGGAGCGCCGAAGAACGAGCAGGCTAGAATTTCGCCAAGCACAGCATACCAATGTATACACGATGACTTAACCGCGCATAGACTGTAGTGCATGGAAATAGGAACGGTCTAGGCTAGGAGGATACCCCCCCCCCCCCCCCCTCCAGTTCTTCGGCAACCGACAGTACTGTAGGAAGGAGACCAAAGTGTTAACAGTCCATTCATTGCAGGGCCGGAGGCAGCTTCCGCGGAGTGGTGCGGCCGAAGGGCCATCTTTAACTCTTTGGTGTCTCCCACACATCGCTGCAGATATCGTGAAAACAACAGTACATCCTGCATTGTGTGACCCGTGCAATTACGCCGGGAAATAGAAATTCAGCCAGGTTTTACAAAATTAGGACAGGTATGCCATGGCAAAATGTATGGAGAAGCAGATCCAAAACCCAGATTTTAAGATTTAAAGTGGGTTTTTGATCCTCAATTCACTTGAATTCAGCCCAAATCCGACTTTCAAAAGCTAGCGGGACTGTTTCCGATGAATGGACTCTAGAACAACAAGGAAAGTCTTGTTGTCTCGGTGATGGCCAATTAGCTACGTTCCCGTCGTGAGCATTGCCAGAGTGTGAGCCGTTTCCTGCCACACAACTCTAGCTGTATATAAGACACAGGTAGCCTGGTCGGGTCAAACCAGCACCGGAGTACAGTGCTGCCGGGCGCTGAAGAACCATACACCAAAAAGCCATGCACCACAGAACGATATGCCGAAGAACCATATGTCGAGGAATGATGGGCCGAAGAGCGAACAGACTACAATACTGTCGGTCGTCAAAGGGGGGGGGGGGATGCAGCCTCCTGGCCAAGGCCGTTCTTATTTTCATGCATTACAGTCTATGCACAGTTGAGTCACCGTGTATACATTGGTATGCATAATGCTGTGCTTGGTAAAATTCTAGCCAGGCCGTTCTTCGGCGCTCTGTCCTGCGGCGCTCCGTTCTTCGGTGCCCGGCAGTACTGTAAAATTTCACAAAGTAAGAAAGTTAAGTAAAACCCCACACACAGCATACCCGTACACTCACACAACAGCGGCGAAAGGCTGTGTAGCTGTATTAAACCTAAAAGTTTCACGCCTTTCAGCGATCATCAGACAGCAGCACCTCGAGCTGCCTACACCGGCCTTGTTTGTTTCAGCATACCCGTATAATATACTTGGTGACTCAATTATTTAATTAAATAAGCAGCGGATGTCGCGCTGTGGCTGCTATGATTTCTTGTCGAATGTTTCCACTCTACGGTCTTCCTTATCCGTACCTGTCAGGATGGCCGAGTGGTCTAAGGCGCTGCGTTCAGGTCGCAGTCTACTTCTGTAGGCGTGGGTTCGAATCCCACTTCTGACATCTACTTTTTTTTATTGAACGCACGTTCAGGGCATGTTCAATTGGTTGGTCCGCATCCAGATTGAGTACGTAGATCCTTTGGATCCACCAAGGTCGAATCTGGAATTTTAGGGATTTTTTAGTGTTTCCGTGTGAGAAAGCAACGATTTCCGCATCATCACGTCTATTCCCGCCACATGTATCAAGTACGATTTTTGGCAAAAGAAGAATCTGGCGTATCTGATCCACCCTGCTCACGGAGTAGGGTTGATCGGGTCCAAATCCGTTGGATCTGGATCCGGATTCGTTGAAACGAACGTGCACACATTAAGTGGATCCGATTGATCTGGATCCAGGTCCAACCAATCGAACATGCGCGTAGCCAAACTGTCTGTGAAGAAGGCTCATTGAGGCCCGTGGAGTCTGGCGTGGCACTCTGCCCACACTACGTTGCCACGAGCTGGGGAATCAGCTTGGTTCTTGCGTCACTGTTCGTCTGCTACGATTTTTAGCTTCCAAGTAGGTTTTCTCTGAGACTTCGAATAGTTTTGTACGTGATGTATCGTGATGTGTCGCGCATGGGCATCTTGCATGAAATCGTTGCTCCTAAACCATAGCGAAACTTAAATCCAGTCATGCCTATTGTAAATTTCACTACATGTACGCAAGGGGCCATCCATAAATACCGACATTTGTTTAGAAACGAAAACCAGTCATTTCTCTTCAACCCCTCCGCCCCGTCCTTGAGAAACGAACACATACAAACGGTACATAGAATCGATATCTATTTTTTTCTGGACGTGCCCACACATGCAAACTGTGCGTCGATAATCTTCGAGAAACGGACAGGCGCTCAACCCCCTCCCCCCTAGACCACTAGTTTTCGTTTCTTAATAAATATCTATATTTACGGATGGCCCCTAGTGGAAGCAGTGTGCCGCGCAGCGCAGGGCACCCATAGTTTGGAAATCAAGAGTTTCCCTAGAAGTTACCTAGAAGTTCTGTAGTGCATGGCCTTCAGCATAGTCCGTACCGGTCAGGATGGCCGAGTGGTCTAAGGCGCTGCGTTCAGGTCGCAGTCTACTTCTGTAGGCGTGGGTTCGAATCCCACTTCTGACATCTACTTTTTTCTTCAATATTGGATTTTTGCCGACTTGCCCCTTATGGTCTGGTATCACCAACAGCGATTTCAGGGTGCACTATTGTACCAGTCTTGATCACAAGCTCACTAGACGACGCCTAGCAACGGTATTTCAGTACCGTATTTCCCTGAGTATCGTACCTTTTTACACTAAACTTCAGACCAGCCAACAAAGTGGGTGCAACTATCATCCAGCATGATAATTATTAATTATACTACTGAAGTGTACAGAGAGCGGAGTCCTCCGGTTTGATAGAGTGCTCAATGCGGAAGCAGAGCAGTAACACACGAGTCACAGAGTACCACGCGTCTGGATTGTTGTAACTAAAAGTTTCATGCCAGATGGCAATCTTCAGACAACTGAACTACTGAAGTGTATGTACTATTGGAACGATATTCAGTTAAACCTTTTTAGGACGAACTTCAAGGGACTGAACAGGATTGTTTGTCCTATCTGGAGTTCTTCTTATTCAGACCTGACAAAAACTTGATATGCATATCATAGAGATTGTATTTAAGTGCAGGTGCATGCTGTGGCACATGTAAAGCATTCATTTATAGCATTAGCCGGGCACAGGTAACTACAATGTGCAATGAATTCATGACAGCATGTCCTCCGCTTTGTACCATGCTGTCAATTCATTTTGCCCGTACAAGAGGCCTCGACTACAGTATCGAAAAAAAAACAGAAAAAAAACAAAAAAACAGCAACAGTCAGGGTACGCACGTGGACCGAAAGTTCGTACTACGTGCTGATTTTGTCCGAATCACGCGTGAAATTAGCTCGTCTTAACGAATGTTTGCCGTACAGGAGTTCGTCATAAACGAATAATTTTGACTTGATATGATGGCTGGCCAACCATAGAATTGGCCCTAGTTCGTACTATTGGAAAGTTCACCTTATCAGTGTTCGTCCTAATGAGGTTTGACTGTAACATGTTTCAAGGGCAGAGTACTGCTGCTTACTTTCGTGACATAACACCGAGTTGAAAATGGGGATCCGACTTACAATCGAGGGCGGCTTGCAATCGGGGAAGTACGTTAGGGATTCTTGCTCAAAAATGTGCCTGGTATTTCTTGTTGCATTATTTCTGTAGTGCATGGCCTTCAGCATAATCCGTACCTGTCAGGATGGCCGAGTGGTCTAAGGCGCTGCGTTCAGGTCGCAGTCTACTTCTGTAGGCGTGGGTTCGAATCCCACTTCTGACATCTCTCTTTTTTCTTAAAATTCTTCTGGCATTTCCTTTTCTAATAGGCCATTCACACGACATGTAAACACTTGCACGTGTGACCAAGATAACACTGGCAAACTGTGATCCAGTTCACACGGTGCTGGGCAAACTTTGCAACCGTCAATGTAGCCCATAGTGACCTCCTGAAAATGCCGGAAAATGTTAAATTTTGAATTTTCCTTTGTTCAAGCACTGAATTTGCAGTACGTACTTTCTACAACCGACATTTTTCCTGGCATGCAAAGATAATCGCGAGCAAAAGGGCCTCGGCCGAGATAAAACATCAGTTGCACGCGTGTGTCCAAGTTTATCGTACCCGAGTAATTATCCGTGGAAACGGTACGATAAAAGTGAGTTTGCACGTCGTGTCAATGGCCTACAAGGAAAGTTAAAATCTCTGACTGTGGCATGTTCAACTGGTTGGGTTTCCCTGTAAGAAGGCAATGACGCCTGCTGGGAATTCCCTAGTAAAATAAGAATAAAAGTGAATAAATAAAATAATAATGGTTGGATCTGGATCCAGATGGGTTTGAGTTGATCCTTTGGATTCACCAAGGTCCAAACGCTGCCCTTGATCGAATCTGGAATTTGAGTGATTGTTGAGGGTTTCCAAGAGAGACAGCAAAGATCTCCGCATCATCGCTTTTGTTCCTGCCATTTGTACATGTATCACGTACAGAGTGCGTTTTGGCAGCGACAAATAAAAATCTGATGGATCCGGTCAATCCTGAACCCTGTAGGGCTGATCGAATCCACATCGGTTGGATCTGGATCCGGATACGTTGAAAGAACTTGTCCATATCGAGTGCATCCAATTGATCTGGATCCAGATCCAACCAATCGAACATGCCCTTAGTTGTTGTGTTTTACATTGCTTGACATTGAGAGGTTCTGGGGTACAATTTTCTGTACCAAAATCCGTAGAAGTGCTACGTATTTTTCCGAGGCGTGCTTCAGAAGATTTTTCGGTACGGGGAAACCGTGAATCATACAAGCAGTATGGGCTACGACTCTGCCCCCTCACCCCCCTGGTTTTCGGGTGCCAGTCTGTAGTGACATACTGGCTAAGACGACAGAGTCTGTGTGCACCTCCCTGCATGCTGCACTGCACAGACCCTATCCAATGCGGCTGCGGCACGCTATAGACGAGTTTCCACATATGTCACATGACCACACGGGACAGCCATGTTGGTGCCGACTCCACTCAACTCCCACGCCTATGGGTCGCATGATGTCGACCATGTTGGCTCCACTGTTGCTTGATGGATTTGAGCACTCTACGGTCTTCATTATCTGTACTTGTCAGGATGGCCGAGTGGTCTAAGGCGCTGCGTTCAGGTCGCAGTCTACTTCTGTAGGCGTGGGTTCGAATCCCACTTCTGACATCTCTCTTTTTTCTTAAATTTTGGATGTTTTGGGCTCTGAAGCCCCCATTGATTGAAGCCATATCACCAAGAGTATACAGTCAGACCTCGCTTACCAAGACTATTTTCAAAACGAAATGTTTTCGGTGGGTTTGAGGGAGTTTCGTTTTGAAAATAATTATTGAATGCTGATGGAGAATGCCCAGTTACTTCTGGGTGTCGAAAATTGACATCAATATTTCATTGGAATTCGTTTTACCTGCAGTAAACACTGGTAAAGGTGGGTGGGTGGGTGGGGGCTGAAAAATACTAAAACTTTTCGTTTTGTAAAAACAATCGGTAACCCCGGACGGCCCCTTACCCGGTCATCTTTTATCCGGATCCCTCGTCATCCGGAAGAAAATCGTTGGTTACCGATTTACAGCATATGTCATACATACATACATACAGTGTGTGTGTGTGTGTGTCCGATTCCCTCGCCTATCCGGATATTTGTTTGGAAAACGGATATGTGCGGTTACACGAGGCCTGACTGTAATTATAAGCTCCCAAGAGTGTGCAACTCCTGATACCCTTTCTATGGGGTTCGCCGATGGTGAAAACTCACATCACGTTGTGTAGTGTCCCAGTTGTACGTTTCCAGCCCGCTGCTAGCGAGCAGTGGAGTAATAAGAAACGCACTACCTGACAGAAACTCACCGCGTGTTTGCAGCTCTCCGGCATGATCATTTCAGATATTCGGATTGCCCTGTGTGCCGTGCGGCTGTCGGAGACTCATTATTTCACTTCAACCTCATTTTGTGCAGTATTTAGTACGTACTTTGCCTTTGGTACAGGTTCCCGTGGCACCTGTATCCCAGTGTGCTATCGGGTTTCTTGCTTGGGGCGGTACCGCTGGTGGCTTCAGCACCCTTGCCTCCCCCGACCCTCCTCCTTCGGGGTGTGTGGAGGTGGGGATTGCCCGGGCAAGCCGCCATTTGCTCCGCCGGAATCAGAATTGGCTCCGGCATTGGAATTACCTACAGAGTCAGCAGCGAAACTCAGGTGGCGAGCCAAGGAAAAAATTGTAACTTGGAAAAATGTGGGCGCAGGTTATGCGATTGAGTCCACAAACTAAACCAGATTTTGAACAGTCAGACGTGCACAATTTAGCACAAAACTGACAAGGAGTACCGAGACACTCCATGGCATGAAAGTCAACTTTTCCCGTTTCGATCTTTCCGTCTAATCTGTGAACATTTCTGTCTGCCTTGTGTTTTTGTTTTCTTTTTTTTTTCTTTTTTTCTTTAGTCTCACATTGTTGTTGCTGATACACACATGCAAACACTTAGGGTGTGTTTGGTTGGTACGATCTAGAACAGGATCGAACAGCTGGTGCACGTGGAGCAGCCTCATGCCAACCAAACGGTACTCCAGAAACAGAGCACATTTGTGACAAAATGTGCCAAACTTGGTGCACTCTTCTAAATGTGTATGGGTCACCATGGTCACTTTGTACGGTACAATGAGTATGTTCTGGCCGACCCAGAACAGGTGCAGTCCCAACCAAACGCGCTGTTCTGGTGAATCCTGTTCTAGGTCGTATCAACCAAACGTGCCCTTAGGGTGTCGTCGCGTGCATCGATTGGTGAATCTGGATTGAGTGCGAGTAGGTGGTGTAGTCCAAGCAACACTGGCGTGATCGAACAAAACAAAGGGTGTAGTAAGCAAAATGTACGCATATCGTACAAAGATTCTGTGAAAGCTGTCAAAAACGTCAAAGTACATTTCCTCTCCAGCCACACCCGGTGTGGGGGCGGGTGTGGTCGGATTCCACTCCAAGCACACCTACTCCGGATTCGGTCGGATTCGCCCAAACGCTCACGCTCACTCGGAGCCCACTTGCTCTGGATTTGCCCAATCGATCATGCCCTTACTTCAGTAGTAAGGGCATGTAGTTGTCATGCCCATGTTTTTGTGCACACTTTCGTGAGAAATCACACTTTTTTCTTGATTTTGTATTTAATAGCGCTTCCGGGCAGGGTGTTCTTATTTTTTTCTTATTTTCGCACTATAAAATTCCTATGAAATTTTCGTTGAATTTCTGTATTGCATGGTGATCATAGTCCGTACCTGTCAGGATGGCCGAGTGGTCTAAGGCGCTGCGTTCAGGTCGCAGTCTACTTCTGTAGGCGTGGGTTCGAATCCCACTTCTGACATCTTCTCTTTTTTGTACAGAGCAGAATTTTCTCGGCAATAATTCATTCCGTCTTGCAAGCTCGATGAAATCCATCCATAGACATGAATACGTACAGTTCTGAACAGAGAAATGCAACCTCATGAATAAAGTATGACGGGCTCAAGTACACAGTGTGGTGTTAAGCTGTGTTCACAACTGGCGCGTGTACGCGTAAAAGCACGCGTTTGTGCGTATTTTTGCTGGCTTTTGGGGCGCCATGCGTACGGAAACGCGCCGAAATGGAAATTCCAACATGTTGGAATTTTCAGCGTGTATCAGGCGTGTACCAGCGTGCATGCCAGTCACTCTGACGGAGGTCACGGGACAAGGTAAAAGTTCAGACCTTCAGTCAACGGAGTGGGGCCGTTCACACCCGTGGTCAGTTTTACCTTGGCCACATGTTTGGCCATGAATTTGTGGCGGGGCAGTTAAAAAAATGTTCTGTACTGCATTTTTGTAGTACATTCTGTACTATATTTTGCATTCGCCATGCACGATTTTCCGATGGGCACTGTCTGAAAATGCAGGTTGCGATGCACTCGTACAACTAGGGTTCAGAGTTCTCATCAAAGACAAGATCTACGCATGCACGTCTTACAGCCATGGGATTTTTCCCTTGACAAACGCCCCGAGGCCCACGGCTTTGCCAATTTTTTCCCTGAGAGGTTCTTCCTTCCCCCCAGTACCATGGTTTCCATAACAACTTTCCCATAACTGTGGTTTTACCCGTGTGTGTGTGTGAATCCCCTATAAAGCGGTGGGAGGTGAGGAGATCAGCCCCACGAAAGTGGTCAAAGACCGAGAATCCCCTTCACTGCACCCATGGGCCGTATTTGGAAAAGTGATCCTGTCAGCTTTTTCTATTATTGTGTTCATAGTACTAGATGGTATTACCGTATATTCATGAGGTCTGATTTCTCTGGCCATGATGACTGTTCACATTATCATAAACATGGCATGAATGGTCATGACAACATTAATTTTACACCAATGATTGATGGGTGATCTATGATAAATGTGAACAGTCATCATGGCCAGAGAAATCGGACCATATTAATTTTACACCAATGATTGATGGATGATCTGTGTTATGTGTATGCATGTTACTGTCGTAACACCATGCCATCCTCTGCTACGGCAGTCAACAATTATTCCATTTCTTTTTCACAGCTTTTGGCACAATATTTTTTTCATATAGTCCCACACATGCAACAACAACAACAACACAATCTCACCTTCTCATAAATTTATCTCTTATTGGCGATGGTGCCATCGTGAGAATGAAGTTGAAGACACCACTGCAGCTGTACTTATGGTTGATCATATGGTGGTAAAGACACACCTGGCAATATGGCGGTAAACACACGCCTGCCCACACACGCTCTCTAGGCTGCAAAGTTCTGGCACAGAGCTCTCCTTCTTACCACCACCACCATCAGTTCGCGCCTGGCGCCTGGTCGATGCATGGCTGGCGGTATCCGGCATAGCAGGCTGGTACATCAAGTACGCCAGGCGCCAGGCGCCAGGCGCGAACTGATGGTGGTGGTGGTGAGAAGGAGAGCTCTGTGCCAGAACTTTGCAGCCTAGAGAGCGTGTGTGGGCAGGCGTGTGTTTACCGCCATATTGCCAGGTGTGTCTTTACCACCATATGATCAACCATAAGTACAGCTGCAGTGGTGTCTTCAACTTCATTCTCGCGAGTCAAGCTCCGTATGAAGACATCCAAGAAGAAGATTGCCTGATGAGTCCAGCGGGGACGAAACGTACGTCGCAATCTAGCTATGTCGTTGCTGTGTCATCATCTATGTGCCATGCGCTACTTGATGTACCAGCCTGCTATGCCGGATACCGCCAGCCATGCATCGACCAGGCGCAAGGCGCGAACTGATGGTGGTGGTGGTGAGAAGGAGAGCTCTGTGCCAGAACTTTGCAGCCTAGAGAGCGTGTGTGGGCAGGCGTGTGTTTACCGCCATATTGCCAGGTGTGTCTTTACCACCATATGATCAACCATAAGTACAGCTGCAGTGGTGTCTTCAACTTCATTCTCGCGAGTCAAGCTCCGTATGAAGACATCCAAGAAGAAGATTGCCTGATGAGTCCAGCGGGGACGAAACGTACGTCGCAATCGAGCTATGTCGTTGCTGTGTCATCATCTATGTGCCATGCGCTACTTGATGTACCAGCCTGCTATGCCGGATACCGCCAGCCATGCATCGACCAGGCGCCAGGCGCGAACTGATGGTGGTGGTGGTGAGAAGGAGAGCTCTGTGCCAGAACTTTGCAGCCTAGAGAGCGTGTGTGGGCAGGCGTGTGTTTACCGCCATATTGCCAGGTGTGTCTTTACCACCATATGATCAACCATAGGTGCCATCGTGAGAATAAAGAATTCAAAAACAACGGTGTAAATCACTTTCCAACTGTTTAACCCACAATCTCACCTTCTCATAAATTTATCTCTTATTGGCGATGGTGCCATCGTGAGAATAAAGAATTCAACAACAACAACAACAGTACACTTAAGTAGTCATTAACCCCTGGGCTCTGCCCACCCAATTCTTCCTCACTCTTTCTCCTTTCTTACACTATTATCTCTTATTGGCCACTGGATATCGTGAGAATAAAGATTTGAAACAACATAAGCAAATGGAGCGAAATGTGGCGGCAAATAATCGCACAGCCATGTACATGTATATGGATGGAACGTAGTCCAAAAAAAAGGTCGTGCATTCATGACCCCGACTTCAGCAAGTAGCAACATGCAAACAAATCATAATGATTTTATGATGATGTGAACAAGCCAGCGGTACACTGCAAGGTGTTGGAAATTGTTGAAAATAAATTAGAAAGCATTTCTAAGTAGCTTGGATCGAAGCTTGCTTGATACCTCCGTGCCAATGTCTGAATTTTTGCTGCATGCTCTAGAGAAGAATATACATGGGCATGAATGGAGGCAGGGTGCTGTAACTGCACTCATGAGTCATGACACAGCGAGCATGACATCATTCGGTCAGTGGTCCCTTGCCATGACGTCACCTGGTCTCCAGCTTTCGAAATTCAAATGACAAAGAAAGAGAGAGAGAGAGAGAGAGAGAGAGAGAGAGAAAGAGAGAAGAGGACGCACACACACACACACACACGCGTGTTTCGGCATCACTCTACTGGTGGTATTGAGTCGAGGTGTTGTGCATCGTGCGCCATCGTGCACTCGACCCTTGCACTGCTCTGTGTCACACCGTCGCCCAGCCGCACAGTAAACTGGCACACGCCCGTGTTCGGAGGCACTCGCGAGAGTCGATCTGCCGGAATGCCACGGACCCTCGATACGAGATGGTGCTTCCGTGCGAGCACGTGCAGGAACACACGGATCCAGCCGCCGTGCGTATACACGGCCAAGTGCGGTTGTGCCGGCGGTGCGCTTGCACCGCCACCAGATGCTAAGCCGGGCGTGCTGGTGAACTTAAGCGCTGCCTCGTCGGCGGCGCAGTCCTCGCTGCAGCACCGGTCCCGTACGAAACTGTTGAGCTTGTCGAAGAACGCGCTCGTCCGCGCTTCCATCTGCAGCTCGCTCTCCGCGCCCGGTGGAGTGTACTCCCAGAGAGTCATGCCTAGCTGCTGTGCCACTGCATTCAGCTGCACACGGGTTTTCCCCTCGCCCGTGCCGTACTTGAACTCGCGCAGCAGCTGGTCGCGAGTGATTGTCGTCGCTGGCCCTTGCTCCGCTCCTTTGGCAACACCATCATTGCTGCTGCTGCTGCCATTGTGAGTGGCTGGCGTGCTGTCGCCTGGACTCGACTCCCCTTCCGTTCGAGTTGTATCCTTCTGTCGCTGTTTGGCGAGCAGCTCCAGGGAGATCGTAGCCGTTTTATATGCACGTTGCAGATCACTGCTGAACACGTGAGTGAACTCCATCTTGTCGGCGGCGAGTCGCGAGCCCAGCGCCCGTGCCTGCTGCTCGCCCACTTCAGACAAGGCGCAGTCCATCTGACCCTGCATTATACCCAGGCGATTCTCGTTCGTCTCTCCGTGCCTGATGAGAGTTAGTTTGTAGCTCGTCTCCATCGCTTATTGAATTTTCTCGCTGGACAAATGCAAGCCAACGTCTACGGCACTAGTATTTGGATCGCCACGAACAAAGACTTCCTAAACGCGCCCTGGCCAGACGAGATGGTGGACCTGGTAGATGGAAGTATCCGAACCGAGAGCTGGATTCTTCTGGACCCGAATACAAAACCAATGATTGTTTCATTGATTATGATCGCATTATACTGTATTGTGTTCTTGATCTTTTCAAATTTTCATGCCGTTTTCAAAAAAATCAGTTACAGGGATCCGATCCGGGATCCCCCGGCCCTCGCCCGGCCCCGGGTCACGACTCCCGGCCTGGGCCTGGTTGGGAAAATCAATGAAAGCCCGGCGCCCGGCCCTTTCGATCACAGATCAGGCGCTCAAATCAGGCAGATCTGCCTTCTGCAGGAGGTCTTCACAGACCCGTTCACATCAAGACCTTGCTTGGACTTGGAAACGTGGGCTCTAACTTCTAAGACTAGCTTGTAGTAGTAGTACTGAAGTACAGTCAACTTCGCTTATAACGACATTCGGCGGGGCATCAAAAAAGTGTCCTTATTCGCGAAGTGTCGTTATATCCGAAGTCTTATTATATGTATTACAGTTGGAAGGGACTTTGCTCTGGGCATGGAAATGCTGTCGTTATTCGCGAATTGTCGTTATATCCGAAGTCGTTATTAGCGAAGTTGACTGTAGCACTCAGTCCTAGTAGTGCTTCTAAGTAACTGGCCAATAGGGTGACAGACCATAAAAAAGGTTTGCTAGAAAATCTTCGAGCAAAATATCGAAAATTCAAGAAAGAGAAATTGCTAGCAAAACCGAGCAAACTATCGATGTTTCTCTCCCAAGTTTGGTCCAAAGCTGGTGTTTTTGAAGCTGTCATTGCGCGTATACAACTTGTACGGTGCAAGTTACTCACTTTTCCTTATTTTGCCAACACCGGTTACCCACTTTTGGCCATGATCCAAACATGTGACCGTAACAAGCATTAATTTTTTGTCTCATATCTGAGCAAAAAGGTAGCAAAATATTGAGAGGCCTGGCAAAATGAAAGCAAAATATCGACGATGAGCCAGCACAATTTTGCCGCAAAATGTCGATGTCGGCCGAGCAAATTTTGGTCTGACACTACTGGCCACATGATGGGAACGAATAGCGGCCCATACACGTCACATGCCTGTTGTCAGGTCATTGCTGGCATTTGGCCAATCAGAGCAGCACCGTACCAGGGCATTATCAGCCGAGAATACCCGGATATGGCGTACCCACGCCCGTTAAGAATGCCTCCAGGCGTGCTACGTGCACTGCCAATTATTATGTTGGTACCAGGCCATGCCTTTAGGGCAGTGACCTGACGCTGGTACATAATTGCCAGTATCCCAGTGCACATAGAACACATGGGACCACTCCTAAGGACACCACGTGCACTCGCATGCATCACACAACGCGAAACTACCATAAAGTACTGTTGATCCGCCCCCTCTCTAATTCCCGCCCCCTGTCGATTTCTACCTGTGAAACGATTTCGGCGTATACAACGAAATACGATGTTGAAGCGACGCATGCACTGCTCTACACAGTACGTGCCAATGCAGGATGAAAATGTGCACAATCCAGCACATCGAGTCTGATCCTCCGTGTTGTTGTGCATCGTACTGCACTTGACAGCCTTGATTTAATTCCTGCCACCTGCCAAAAACCCAGCTGGGAAGCGACATGGCGGAGGGGGGGGGGGGGGGGGGGGATCAACGGTGTTTCACGGCACCTACATGTACGTGCACCGTCCAAAACTATTATTTTCACTCAGAGCAATGTCGACATAGGAGAAGTAATTTATAACAACGTGACAAGAGAATGACACACACCATGTCTTTTACAATGCATTACTATTATTGAGACGAACAAGTCGACCGGTGAACATGCATCGCAAAGTTTCCTATCTGGAAAAAGATTCGATTGTATCCGAACTCGTCCAAAGTACACAGTTACATCTACTTCCAATACACCGAAGTAGCTACATGTACACTGTACATGGACCTAAAGTAAACCGACAGCAATGGGAACAAAATCTCAGCTGTATGTGAAAAAGGATCTTTGTTCCGAATAAGAACGCTTACAATGTACTCCAAAAACTAGTCTAATTACTAGTGCCACTTGGTCACTGCTGTTTTCGTTCAACGGCAACTCCAAAGCCACAGCGAATCAGCTAACTGCCGTACCGTACCGCCCAATAGGCAACACTATCACAAAAACTCCAAAGCCACATCGAATCATGCGTGTTTATGAGTGTGTACTCACACCTGCCCTATAGATGTCACATGCTAAAGGAGTATCAGAGATCAGCGGCTGGCAAGGGCAGTACACCTCTGTGTGACCTCCGACCACCGTCCGTTCTACTGCACACTGTCAGGTATCTGTTCACAAGGTGAGAATGCCAGCATGTTGTAAATGTCTGACGGAGTACAGGAGATGTCAGTGCTTCTGGAGGAATGCTAGCGTATTTAGAATATAATCACACCTTCTCTGTCCACCCTGCACTCCACTCGTTGCGCACACATCCGCACACTCACTCGTACGTGTACACCACTACTGAACACGTCAACATTGCCGGTGGGGGCCACCATAGCACTCTTTTGTCTTTGTGCACAGAGTTGAGTGAGAGTGAGTTTTTGAGGCTGTTTGGAAATTTGTCTTGGAAGTTGTTTTGTTTATTGAGAGAATTGAGAGAATGCACCATTTTACGCTTGACTACGAAGAAGGGACGAGACTTACAAGTGTGACACCCTACATTTGTGAAAATATTGAAACAATTTGCATCTAACCTTGTACATAGTGGGGGTATGGCTTATGATCCAATGCGACTTACCGTAAACTCGTGTATAAAAGCCGCGGCTTATATGACTTTTTTTGGGAATTTTTGCAGGCTTCTACACAAGACAAGTATTTACATGTATGCCAACACTAAAAGCAGGCGTATGTGCCGACAGTGCACCTTGAAAAATCAGGCTTGTATTCAAATCAGGCTTGTACTTCGAAGTATTCAAATCAGGCTTGTATTCAAATCAGGCTTGTATTCAAATCAGGCCTGTATTCAAATCAGGCTTCCGAATGAGACAGGCTTTAACACAAGACACCACGGTATGTCCTGAGAACTACTGCTTTCAAATCAGGCTTGTATTCAAATCAGGCCGGTATTCAAATCAGGCTTCCGAATGAGACAGGCTTTAACACAAGACACCACGGTATGTCCTGAGAACTACTGCTTTTAAAAGTTATTTCAATGGACACACCTATTCAATGCGCGCCACTGCAAGCACGAGCCATTTTCGTTTTTGAGACGGAATGTTCGGTTCCTCCCACTGGCTCTCTATGTAATCATGCAGTCTTTTAGGAGAGAAAAAAATCAATACAGCAGCAAGAAGGACGAATTGTGGCGCAACTTCCCGCAGCCCGTAAGCATTATTTATTTGTCGACGTGCATGATTGTTTCATAGGAAAGCGTGAATGTCGATAGACGTACAATTATTATTCACACATATCCGCCGGATGAGTACGCGTGGCCCATGCACCATGGGGACCCACGAATACAAACCAGCATATGTTCCCTCAGCAATACAAGCAAGCAAGCACGCAAAGATAAATGAGGGCCCAGGCAGCGAAAACAAAACGAAGAGAGATGAGGACATAGGCAACGAAAACAATTCCAAAGCACAGCCAGGGATTGAATGTGTGCATCTGGGTACGACAGTTAATGCGGCTAGTGCAGCCGTACAGAGCGCAGCAGCACGAAAATACAAAAGTGCCACAGCAGCAGCCAAGAGTGTGCAAACACTAAAAAAGAAGATCAGTCCATGAAAAAATTATTGTCGCCACAGGTAGACATCTCCGGCAAGAATGCATGCATGCGCACGAGTAGGCAGGCAAGCATGTCAGATGTAATCGTATTATTATGGCCAGGCTAATTAACAGTGCTGTTTCGCAATGAATTCCATCGGCATTTATCATGCGCCACCTTCCGAAGCTGAGCGTACAATGCTTTGTGTAATTGTGTGCATTTGCTCCTTTAGAATACTGCGGCGGGATGACGTACCGCGTTGGGAAGCGTACCAGTTTGTATCCGGTCGCTGTCGTGCTGTTCTACAGGACCTCGTCATACAGGTGAGGTCTAGGTTAGAGGTTATGCCATTACATCATCAGCTGAGCATGAGATGGTTTGGCAAAGTCGCGGCACCGCACTGCACTAGCAATGCATTGCACTACTACAGTAAAGTGCCGCCAGAGCGCCCCACTATCTCGCCCTTTCGTGGTTGTATTGTGGAGGTGGTCTGCCGTCTGTAGGTCATACGACACGAACCTTGTACGCATATTGCACGTTTTGCAGTCAATCCGTACCTTCGAGCGGACACGAGCTCCACACAAAACCCTGCTAAGTATGACCTTAGTACACTAAGGTTCTCACGCCGTACAAACTTCGTTGCACTCTGCCATACGATTTTCCTTTGATCGGCTATAAAATCAAGGTGGAGCGCTCTCGCCAGACGGGGCGCTCTGGCGGTACTTACGGCACAACTAGCGACTCGCTGTCATATGAATGTACATAGCGCCCATTAGCGTTTCCGCTGTGTACTTCACACCCATTAGCGATTCCGGAAATCTGCTGGCTCGTAACATTATGACGTCTTTCGCATACTAGTAAGATGTAGTAACCTCTATAGCCTAGACGCTTGGCGGTTCTCGGCTGGGGAAAAGCTGTACCAGCTTATCAAAGAATGTTGTGCAGTGTGAAATCGACGGACGTAAGCGTGCTGTGTTCCTCCGGACCCAGCGTTCTTTCGGTTCGTAGTGTGAGACTGGCCTTACAAATACTTTGAACTACAGTGAAACCGGTCTAAGACGACCGCTCAAGGGACCTTCAAAATGTGGTCTCTGTTACCAGGTGGTATCCTTATCCAGTGTCATTTTGTAACGGAATTTCCCCCCGCTCCTCGCCACAAGACAGTTCTCTCACTCATAACACAAGGATTTGTAGTGGCAGGATACTTCTCTTAGATTAACGATAGTACTCAAGTGATTGGCGAGAGAACGGGGAAGAAAGACGAAAAGACTAGACAGAAAACGACGACGGGAAAGACTCCCGGGAAAGACTCAAAGAAAACAACAAAGAACAAGCAGTAATAAACCGACGACAAATCGAGACGACCAATCAGGGACCAATACGTACAGAACACATGACCAAGACCAAGACAACCAGACCACGGACGAATCACACACGACTCTCATTCCCAGACCAAACTAGCACTGCGCATGTACAGCATTCACTTGACAGTCACTCTCACACAGACGGAAGCACATCCTCACACTCTGACAACGCGTACTCTTGCATGCACCACATACCATAAACGTCACACATCACACCATACTCGCGCGTACATCTAGACCATATATGACATCAGACACTGGACTCCACCAGACAAGAACCAAATACAACGACATGCGTAAATCATAGTCGTAATACAAATTCGTAACATAGCCCTCCCCTCCGGCGAGAGTCGACCTCGACTCTAGCAAGTAGGAAAATGCGTACTACAGTTATATGCACCACGAGAAAAAAAAATGGAGTAGGAGAAAAACAAAAGGGATGAGAAGACACAATAACAGGAGAACAGACTGAGGAAAACAGGACAACGTCAAGTGGCTGCAGACGTGGAGACATTAGCGCAAGACCACGCGGTGGGCGGTCATCTCGTACGACGTGTCCATTCGGATGTTAATGAGGCGCAGTGTATAACATGTAAAACATAGAGACAGCAGAACACAGCAGGCAGTCAATCAGGGAAAAGAACAAATCGAAAATCCATCGATACACTGTCACACAAACTTCAGAAGGGGAGAAACCCACAGGACTCTAACCTGACTAGAAAAACTCGGCGCGGAGCCGGCATAAGTGTCCCACACTTTTCCGATGGCGGATCATCTTGTCGTCCCACAACCCCGTATGATCCTGTCGTCCCATGACCCATAATTATCTTGTCGTCCCACGACCCATAATATTTATATATTTTTTTATTTTATACTTCCCCGACAAAAGGCTAAACAAACACTGGAGCCCACCAGCTCACTACGCGGACCGTGGCTCACCATGATCGGACGTCCACCTGGTGAAATGAATAGACCCGCAGGTCGACACAAAACGAGAACAAAATACGCTCCCTGAAAAGACTAACCCAGAAAACTGCCCCAAACCCCAGCAAATGTACGCACACTGACTGCAAAAACCAAAAAGAAAGACACAAGACCCGGATCGCCGTCACGAAGACCGACGATGTAGAAACGATAGCGCAAAAAGATAACAAGCAACAAAAAACAAAACCCACGACGCAGATTGTGAAAATACTATATGGCCCCGACAAAACAGAACGACGTGGACAGCACCCGGGCCCTGGGTGTGTCCGTGCAGTAATGCTGACGACAACAAAATAGGCAGGCAAGTGAATAAGCTACAGCGAACTGAGCCATTACTGGGATTGACTCACCGGGTAGTTGTGCGCCTGACGAGCGACCACTGTCTCCCAACATGTACCACTAAAGTAGGACGGGGCGAAGTCGAGTAGAGTATCCAGTAGAGTAGAGTATCCAGCAGAGTAGAGGCCAGGCTGCCAGGGCGCAAACGAAAACGATCTCAGGGTCGTGGGTTACGATCACTAGGTGGGCGCCAATGTAACGGAATTTCCCCCCGCTCCTCGCCACAAGACAGTTCTCTCACTCATAACACAAGGATTTTTAGTGGCAGGATACTTCTCTTAGATTAACGATAGTACTCAAGTGATTGGCGAGAGAACGGGGAAGAAAGACAAAAAGACTAGACAGAAAACGACGACGGGAAAGACTCCCGGGAAAGACTCAAAGAAAACAACAAAGAACAAGCAGTAATAAACCGACGACAAATCGAGACGACCAATCAGGGACCAATACGTACAGAACACATGACCAAGACCAAGACAACCAGACCACGGACGAATCACACACGACTTTCATTCCCAGACCAAACTAGCACTGCGCATGTACAGCATTCACTTGACAGTCACTCTCACACAGACGGAAGCACATCCTCACACTCTGACAATGCGTACTCTTGCATGCACCACATACCATAAACGTCACACATCACACCATACTCGCGCGTACACCTAGACCATATATGACATCAGACACTGGACTCCACAAGACAAGAACCAAATACAACGACATGCGTAAATCATAGTCGTAATACAAATTCGTAACAATTTGACTGGAAATAACATCCCTTGGTCCTGGTTGCAGAGGTCTTCTGGGACAGGTGGTCGCCTTATCCGAGTGGTCGCCTTGACAGGTTTAACTGTACGACGTTAGCAGCGCCGTTTCTTTGCCTATCCATGTACAGCACTGAGCAGAGTGTCCGTAACGGCCTCGCGTAAATCCGTCCTGCACTGATTGGTCTTCTGGCCACCAACTACATGTACAAGTTTATAACGTTGATCTAGATTGTTTGAGACTGGACAGATGTTGTGTTGACGGTGTTGATACTGTAGCACCTGTTATTAAGGTGACCAGTCGGACGAGGCGACCACCTGTCCAAGAAGGCCGCTTCAGATGTTCGCCACATCAGAGTGGTCAGGTGGACATTCTGATGTGGCAAACTTTACTGAATTTGCTTGCCTCTACATTTGCCTGTGTTCCGTGCCAGGGTCTACCCCCGCCGTTATCAATTCCCATCCTGGAAGCCATCGTCAGGTTTCATGTGCTGATGGCGTACGAGTAAGCAGTCTCTCCTTATTGCTTGTGTGTGTGTGTGTGTGTGTGTGTGTGTGTGTGTGTGTGTGTGTGTGTGTGTGCGTGTGTGCGTACGCCCGAGTGCGTGTGTGCATATCTGTGTTACCTACATGTGTGTATGTGTGCGCACATCTCTCACTACAAGTACATGTATTTCCAATTTTCCATTTTGTTGTACTCTTTGAAGGTTGTGTGACGAGTCGGTGGAGCACTTTGACTCACGCCTCAACGCTGAACGTATCCAGAACTGTTTCTCTGACCTATTGCCTCTGTACAAAGACAGAGATGTGGTTGACCTGTTACCCATGGCAACCGGTGAGCCCGTGTTACCCAGTCGTAGTTTGGGAGACAGTGCAGTCGCTATGGCTACCGGTCGCGGACGAGGCCGTGGCAGAGGAAGAGGGAGTGGTACTGTCGCGGCGACGTCTGCTGCTGCTATCCCCGTAGGTGGTCGCGGACGTGGTCGCGCTGCTACTGCTACTGCTGCTGCTGCTGCTGCTGCCGCTGCAGCGTCCATTCGCCCTGGCAACCCTCCTGGTGACCGTACAGCTTGCAACGTGTGCACGCAGTGTCGCGGTGAAGTGGAGGCCGCTGCTTTGCTGCAGTCAGAGGGTGAGTTTGCTTTGAAATGCTCCCATTAGGGGTCGTCGCAAAAGGTTTCTGTCGTCCTTGAAACGAACATCGTTCATTTCGTACTCGGACCCCCTCCCCTCCCTCTGAAACGAACACAGCTTGCTATGCTGAACGACAAAAATCGCATGCACATACATGTCATATGTACAGCGTCGGTCGACTTGTGATTTTGGCTCGCACCCCCCAACGAATGATGTACGTTTCAGGGACGACAAAAACTTTACAACAGCCCCTCTGCAATACAGGCAGCCCACGGACAAATATCGTATTATGTTGTCGTGCATACGGAAGTCCTGTGATTTGAGAATTATTTGGTCCAGCTTCGATTGTACACAAATGTGTCTCTGGAGATTATCCTGCATGTTACAGGGGCTGGAAGGTATTTTAGTGTTGTACGGTGAGCCATCTGAAGGTATTTTAGTGTGGTACGGTGAGCCATCTGAAGCACAATTTACTCAAGAGAGGGGTGATGAACCGGAATTTTTGGAAATTTAGAGTCCAGATTAGTGTATTTTATTGATTCACAGGGTACTTGGGGCAACGAGTGCTACGGTCAATACTGTAGTGGCCGTACCGTGTCCGACGCCCCTGTGTTAAGATGGAGATGTTCGTGTTTGATACGTGCCAGCGCAGGCATGTCGCTGGATAGTGGGTGTAGTCTCAATGCTGTTGTCATGTTATGGTTTGTAGTGACGGTACTGTTGCTCTTGCTAATGCTTAATTCCCAATGCTGTTGCTCTTGTTTTCATTCTGTAGACTTGTACTTGGCCATGACGCGTGTCTTAAAACTGCCGTCCATTGTGCGGTGAGTAAGTGCAGGCGGTTTGTGTAGCGTGCCTGGTACTTGTTGCGAGTCGGGCGTACTTTGGCGTCGTGTGGATGTGATGACAGTCTCCGTTCTCTGCCTGTTTGTTTGTCTGTCTGTCTGTTTGTCTGTATGTTTCGTCAGTATCACTTCTTGCTCCTGTTGTGCGGTTCGGCTGCCTACAGGTGTATGTCATGGATTTTCTAGCTGAACCGTCGCCGGTATGTTATCGCTTAGATAATTAGCCTCTTGCTTAAATGTCTGCCTGTCTGTCTCTGTGTGTCTCTGTCGGTCTCTGTCTCTCTCTCCGTCTGTCTGTCTATCTGTCTGTCTGTCTGTCTGTCCATCTCTCTTTTTTTCTCTCTCTCTCTCTCTCTCTCTCTCTCTCTCTCTCTTTCCGTCCCCTTAACAAAATCAGGTCATCTCGTCCAATACAGTGCGCTATGCAGCTGACGCGGGCCCTGCTCGACGGGAATTTTGTGCGGTTTGTACGCGTGGCACGCTTAGCAACACCGCTAATGCTCTGCGCCCTGCATCCCGCTCTCTTATTAGTCAGGCAGTGAGTAAATCTCTTTGTTCTTCTAAGGGCCATAACTAAACTTTTTCGTTCCATGAATATTATCAATAATGGCGGTTGGCCCCTACGCTAGTGGCAACAAGGAAGCCAATCACCTTGACTATGTTCAATTTCTGCGCCAAAGACGTCGCTCATTGGGTACTGTAAATATACAAATTTTCGGCAGCTATTTAATTTCGGCTATATTCGGCACCGACCCAAAACGCCTAAACTAAAACGCCGATGAAATTTTTCACAGCATCTGTCGCACTATACCATGCCCTCTATCCCACGCCGAAAATAAATCGCCGCCGAAATGTCAAAAATCGTGAAGTGCCGAAATTTTGCAGCGCCGATATTTTGTATATTTACAGTATGCTGTTGCTGGTTGACTGGCCATGTGCTGTCATGTTCTGGCCAAGAGCAACATCTCAACCAGCATGTTTCTCTCTCCTTCTGTTCCTCCATGCAGCGTGGCGCTGCAGACGATGAACTCCGCGTACGCGTGTCGCAATGCGAAATTCCCGGCAAAGTGAGTTACAATGTGCTGATCGGGCCCACACTCAGGCCAGCTTTCATGGTGTGGCCCCAGACACATACCTATACTATAGCTTGTGTGTAGTCAGTGTGGTGCGATCATCACACCGGTGACCACACCAGCAAATAGCCGTCATATGTACATTGTACAGTCAACTTCGCTAATACCGACTGCGGATATAACGACCATTCGCGAATAACGACAGAATTTCCATGCCCAGAGCAAAGTCCCATCCCACTTTGATTCATAAAATGAGACTTCGGGTATAAGGACACTTCGCGAATAAGGACACCTTTTTGATGCCCCGCCGAGTGTCGTTATAAGCCAAGTTGACTGTACTACATAGACAAATAGACAGAATGTCAGCTATGACGTTGCCCATGGTACATGGTCATCACACCACAGATGTGTGCTTTGGTACATGGTCATCACACCACAGATGTGTGCTCTGGTACATGGTCACCACTCCACAGATGTGTGCTCTGGTACATGGTCACCACACCACAGATGTGTGCTCTGGTACATAGCCACCACACCACAGATGTACAAGCTACGCCCCTGGGCCCTGCGAATGTACTATAGTGTTTGCTCTGATATTATTATGGTACGCATTCCCGCGTTGCAGTGTAGCAGCAGTATGCTGCGTCCACAGCTTCGCTTGTGCAGAATGGCTTGGGTGAGAGGAGAGGGGAGAGAAAGCAACAAGGCGACCAACATCTATGAAATAGGTCACGGTAACATGAAGAGAACCAACCTACATACCGGTATGCATGATTGCACAAGAATGGAGACGACAAATGGCTATAATCACTGTTGCTCTGATTGCACTGTCAAAAGTCGCTGTCTGATACTAAGATTTTCAGGCTGTCCATGCACTCTCTGTGTGAGCATTGAGATGTGATGGCCGACCGTCGTGTCTGCGTCCGGCAGCAAGACTTTAAAATTGCTGGCCTATTCTACAACGTGTCTGTGTAATAGGTGTATTTATGCTACGACCTGTACATACTCACTATTCGTATTTCCCGCTCGTTCCCCTTGGCAATGCGAGCCACTCACGTATAGAAGAGCGCATGCTCCAGTGGATCTCTAGTGTTGTTCTGTCTTGAGTCTTGAGTTGTCGTTGTCCTGTTCTCCTTCTCATTCTTGTCTACACTCTTGTCGAAATACTTCCATATTCAATACTATACAACCCATGTGTTCTGGTGTGAGGGGACTTCATTTAGCCGGGAGCTAACATCTGTGATCCGCTGTCCTGTCATGCTCTGTCTGTGTCCGGCATCATGACTTGCTGCCCAGTCAAGCACTGCCTGTGTGGTACTAAGTTTGCTAGTAGGTCAGCACTGTCTGTGTCTGGCATTGAGATTTTCCGATCATTCATTGTATGTGTCTGGCATTGAGATGTTCTGGCCGATCATTCATTGTCTGTGTCTGGCATTGAGATTTTCTGGCCGATCATTCATTGTCTGTTTCTGGCATTGAGATGTTCTGGCTGATCATTCATGGTCTGTGTCTGGCACCAAGATTTTCTGGCCGTTAATGGAATGTATGGGTCTGGTTAAAAGATGTGCTGGCCAGTCATGCGCTGTCTGTGTGCAGCACTAAGGGTTCTAGCCAATCATACGCTGTCTGTGTGCGGCACTAAGGGTTCTGGCCAAGCATACGCTGTCTGTGTGCGGCACTAAGGGTTCTGGCCAAGCATGCGCTGTCTGTGTGCGGCACTAAGGGTTCTGGCCAATCATGCGCTGTCTGTGTGCGGCACTAAGGGTTCTGGCCAATCATGCGCTGTCTGTGTGCGGCACTAAGGGTTCTGGCCAATCATGCGCTGTCTGTGTGCGGCACTAAGGGTTCTGGCCAATCATGCGCTATGTATTGGTAGTCCATGGTTGGTTGTTGCACTGTGTGTTGATAGTCCATGGTTGGTTGTTGCACTGTGTGTTGATAGTCCATGGTTGGTTGTTGCACTGTGTGTTGATTGTCCATGGTTGGTTGTTGCACTGTGTGTTGATAGTCCATGGTTGGTTGTTGCACTGTGTGTTGATAGTCCATGGTTGGTTGTTGCACTGTGTGTTGATAGTCCATGGTTGGTTGTTGCACTGTGTGTTGATTGTCCATGGTTGGTTGTTGCACTGTGTGTTGATAGTCCATGGTTGGTTGTTGCACTGTGTGTTGATAGTCCATGGTTGGTTGTTGCACTGTGTGTTGATAGTCCATGGTTGGTTGTTGCACTGTGTGTTGATAGTCCATGGTTGGTTGTTGCACTGTGTGTTGATAGTCCATGGTTGGTTGTTGCACTGTGTGTTGATAGTCCATGGTTGGTTGTTGCACTGTGTGTTGATAGTCCATGGTTGGTTGTTGCACTGTGTGTTGATAGTCCATGGCTGGTTGTTGCACTGTGTGTTGATAGTCCATGGCTGGTTGTTGCACTGTGTGTTGATAGTCCATGGTTGGTTGTTGCACTGTGTGTTGATAGTCCATGGTTGGTTGTTGCACTGTGTGTTGATAGTCCATGGTTGGTTGTTGCACTGTGTGTTGATAGTCCATGGTTGGTTGTTGCACTGTGTGTTGATAGTCCATGGTTGGTTGTTGCACTGTGTGTTGATAGTCCATGGTTGGTTGTTGCACTGTGTGTTGATAGTCCATGGTTGGTTGTTGCACTGTGTGTTGATAGTCCATGGCTGGTTGTTGCACTGTGTGTTGATAGTCCATGGTTGGTTGTTGCACTGTGTGTTGATAGTCCATGGTTGGTTGTTGCACTGTGTGTTGATAGTCCATGGTTGGTTGTTGCACTGTGTGTTGATAGTCCATGGTTGGTTGTTGCACTGTGTGTTGATAGTCCATGGCTGGTTGTTGCACTGTGTGTTGATAGTCCATGGCTGGTTGTTGCACTGTGTGTTGATAGTCCATGGCTGGTTGTTGCACTGTGTGTTGATAGTCCATGGTTGGTTGTTGCACTGTGTGTTGATAGTCCATGGCTGGTTGTTGCACTGTGTGTTGATAGTCCATGGCTGGTTGTTGCACTGTGTGTTGATAGTCCATGGCTGGTTGTTGCACTGTGTGTTGATAGTCCATGGCTGGTTGTTGCACTGTGTGTTGATAGTCCATGGTTGGTTGTTGCACTGTGTGTTGATAGTCCATGGTTGGTTGTTGCACTGTGTGTTGATAGTCCATGGTTGGTTGTTGCACTGTGTGTTGATAGTCCATGGCTGGTTGTTGCACTGTGTGTTGATAGTCCATGGCTGGTTGTTGCACTGTGTGTTGATTGTCCATGGTTGGTTGTTGCACTGTGTGTTGATAGTCCATGGTTGGTTGTTGCACTGTTCTGTTCTACAGGGTCGTAGGTGATTGGCTGGCTGCTGACTCACAACGGCAGGTGGAGGAGTGGTGCCGGTCACTCGGTGAGTAGACATTGTGGGCTGCCCTGTACAGTTGCAACACCAGGCCATGTCTGTTTAGTTACCATGGGATAGCCTTATGGAGGCTTATAGTCACCACCCAGGGATGGCTTTAAAGTCACCCGGAGTGGGTGGGTGTTGCGTGTATGTGTGTGTGTGTGTGTGTGTGTGTGTGTGTGTGTGTGTGTGTGTGTGTGTGTGTGTGTGTGTGTGTGTGTGCATGTGTGTGTGTGTGTGTGTGTGTTTGTGTGTGTGTGTGTGTGTGTTTGTGTGTATGGAAAAATGAAAAAATAGGGATTCACTGGCCAGAAAAAGTCACTTCAAACAGCTGTGTGGTGGATACCAGGCTAAAAATAGTGGCGGTCAATTCATCAGCCTTGCAAGCTGTTGAATGGTGTAATCCCAGCACAAGTTGCTATGTCTAACATAGCTGTTCGCTATCATCGCTTCCGCGATGGGCATGTCTGAGGTCTGAGGTGTATGCACACATGTACACACATGCGTGCACATGTGTGCATGCATACACACGTGCCTGTGTGTGCTCATGATCTTTGTTCTTATCTTCTCTTCAGGACTGGAGGTTGCCAACGGCGATGTTGTTTTCAGCAAAACCGCCGTGGCACAGCGGTCATCGGTAAGTTGATTGTGCAAACTTGTTATTACCAGTCTGTAATATGTCAACAAATATTCGAGTTCTCCCAATCCTTTCAAAAATATTCAGTACCCTTTTATTTTCGTCTTATTTTGGCCAAAAATGTGTTGCCGCCGACATTTTGTTTTGCATGGTTCAGGGTGACACTTGATACAGGCAGCAGCAGTACAGTCCGAAAATTTAATGCGGCCGAAAAATGTTTTAGCCCTGGGAGGCCGACATTTGAATGGGCCGAAAATTTGTCGACTTACAGTATACAGTAAAACCTGTCAAGGAGACTACCTGTCAAGGAGACCACCTGTCAAGGAGACCACCTGTCCTGGAAGACCACAGGAACCAGGACCAAGAGATGCTATTTCCTGCCAAATAACCCTGGATAAGGAGACTACCTGGTAACTGAGACCACATTTCGCAGGTCCCTTCAGCGGTCGTCTTAGACAGGGTTTACTGTAGTGTCTATGGGTGCCATGATGTAGAGATGTGATGTGAATGATGTCATGGTGGCGGGTCAGTGTTTTTGTTTATGGGCGCTGCGTATTTTTGCTGGCTTCTGGGGTGTCCTGTGTATGGAAATCTGGCGAAATGGAAATTCCA